GGGGGAGGCCTTCAACGAGATGGATTGACATGGTGGCTGCGATGATGGGCTCAAGTATAGTAGGGATTGTGGGGCTGGCGCGGGATTGGGCAGTGTTTCGTTCTGCTGTGCATGGGGTCACTATGAGTTGAAAAATGACTTGACGGCACTTAACAACAACATATTCATAAAAATTATTTCTGGTAGAAAAAATAGAAATAAGAATAATGAAATGCTTAATTAAATTTGGTTCAGATGTGGTACCACATCTGTCCCTGGGTGGGGCAAACAGCTAATGTTCTTGGCTGCTACTGTAAAGTTGGAGGTTCAAGCCAAACAGAGAAGCCTCGAAAGAAAGACCTGGTAATCGACTCCTGAAAGCTCAACACAGTTTGACTCTGACACACATGGGGTAACCATGAGTCAGAAACAACTTAACAGCAACCGGTATGTACAATGATATGAAAAAAGACTCACAAAATAATATTAGGTACAGAAAGTCACAGTGTATGAAAGTCCATATGGTCTGAAATTTATTTTAAAACAATCCCAGAATATTATACATGTTGTTGTTGTTATGCTCCGTCAAGCCATCTCTGATTCACAGTGACCCTGTGCACAGGAGAACGAAACACTACCTGGTCTTGTGCCAGCCTCACGATCCTTGCTATACCTGAGCCCATCATTGCAGCCCCTGTGTCAATCCATCTCATTGAGGGCATTCTCCTTCTTCGTTGACTCTCCACTTTACCAAGCATGATATCCTTCTCCAAGGCATGTTTCCTTCTGACAACTTGACCACAGTAGGTACAATGAAGTCTGGCCATTCTCGCTTCCAAGGAGCTTTCCGGCTGTACTTCTTCCAAGGAAAGATTTGTTAGTCCTTTTAGCAGACCATGGTACTCTTAGCATTCTTCTCCAACACCACAACTCAAAAACATCAACTCTTCTTTGGTCTTCCTTATTAATTGTCCAGCTCTCACATGCATAAGAGGAGATTACAAATACCATGGCTTGGGTTAGGCACACCTTAGTCTTCTAGGAGACATCTTTGCTCTTCATCATTTGAAAGAGGTCCTTTGCAGCAGATTTGCCCAGTGCAATACATCATCTGATGTCTTGACTGCTGCTGCCATTGGTTTTAATTGTAGAACCAAGTAATAGGAAATCCTTGACAACTTCAATCTTTTCTCCATCCACTGTGAAGCTATTTATTGGACCAGTTGTGAGGATTTTTGTTTTCTTTATATTGAGGTGTAATCCATACTGCAAACTGTAGTCTTTAATTTTCATCAGTAACTGCTTCAGTCATTTTCACTTTCAGCAAGCAAAATTGTGTCATCTGTGTATCACAGGTTGTTAATGAGTCTTCCTCCAATACTGATGCCACGTTCTTCATATAATCCAGGTTCTCGGATTATTTGCTTAACACATAAATTGAATAAGTATGGTGAAAGAATGCAACCTTGACACACTCCCTTCTTGATTTTGAACCATGCTGTACCCCCTTGTTCTGTTCAAATGACAGTCTCCTGATCTATGTATGTTTATTTTAAAACAACCCCAGAATATTATACATAATAAGTACAACATGACTGAATGAAATATACATTTTTTCACATGGTTATTCCTCTAGGTTGGCATTGCAAGTGATTTTCCAACTATTTGTTACACTTTTCTGTAGTGTCCAGATTTCTGAACTGAGGATGCATTTCTTTCATAATTAAAGAAAAAACATACGTGTGTGTGTGTGTGTGTGTGTGTAATTACCACCACCAGGCTTGGTATTTGTATTTCTTGCTTGAGAAGATGCGTTAAAGTTTCATGCATTTTTTTCTTCTTATACTCAAAACTTTCTAAATACAGATCTATTACCACTATGCTCCACATTAATTTCTTTTCTAACAGATCCCTCTGAGACTTTAATTGAGAGAGACTCAATAAGCCTGGGGATATCTTTCTGGTGATTCCCCAAGGAAACAAAAAACCCTATGTAAGAAGATGTAAAGTCAGATTATGAACAATTCCTAAGGATTCTCAGTCATGCATAGAGATTTAATTGTGTCTAGAACTAAGGTAAGTTTGTGAAATTTCCAAAAAATACCTCTTTAGGAAAATGCAAATTGTTGACTAAGAATACAACAGCTTGGAGTATAGGGATAGCTAACAAAAGGCAATGTTAGAAAAAGGCAGTGTGTTTCTTGTTTCCTTTCACTTCTTAAAGGAGCTCTGGTAGTGCAGTGCTTAAGACATTTCACTGATAACCAGAAGGTTGGTGGTTCAAACTCAGCAGCCGCTGTGCACAAGGAAAATGGGACAATGTACTTCCCTAAAGATTAACCACCTTGGAAACCCAATGGGGATGCTAAGAGTTAGAATTGACTTGATGGCAGAGAGTTTGAAGCTTTAGAGTTTTTCACTTCTTAAGTGGTATTGCCTCCTTTTCTTTTTGGGTGGCTTCCATTGGACCTAGTTCTCCTTTTCCATTCATTTCATCATGGTATACACACAAAATTGAGGACACTGGAAATTTTGATTTTCAAATTTCTCTAGTGTTGCTGTTGTTAGCTACCATTGACTCAGTTCTGACTCATAGAGACCCTATGAACAACAGAATGAAACACTGCTTGGTCCTGCACCATCCTCACAATCCTTGCTATGTTTGAGCCCATAGTTTCAGCCACTGTGCCAATCCATCTCCTTGAAAGTCTTTCATTTTTTTGCTGATCTTGCTTTACCAAACATGATATCCTTCTCCAGGGAATGGTCCTTTCTGACAACATGATCAAAGTAAGATCAGACAAAATCTGAACATTCTTGCTTCTACTATGAAATAATTATTTCTCTACATGGTGACATTTCTGGAGAGGGATTGTGAGACATCCCCTCCCCTTATATCAAGGGACCATCAGTTTAGAATCCAGAGACCATCAAATTCTAAAATTTGTAGTTCATTTGTATTTCATTCTCTCCATGACAGCTTCTATGTACTCTGCACAGTAGAATCAGCCATACCTCCAGAAGCAATTTCCATAAATCTTAGATTGCAGGAATATATGCTGTGTGGCTTTAAATCCATGTGATTTATGCTATTGCACAGCAAGTGTGTATTTAGTTCTGCTGGATGGTGGGTGGTACGGATGGTTGACAATGATTCTGTCCTGCATGGGCTGTTCTAGAGCTTAAGGACCATTTCATTATTAATAGTTTATTGTGATATATGTATAACTCACTGCCCTCGAGTTGGATCTGACTCATAGTGACATGACCCCTCCTTGGGTTTCTGAGGTGGTATCTCTACAGAAGTAGATCGCCCAGTCTTACTTTCAAAGAGTGACAGAAATACTTTAAGCACTTGGTGTTGTTGTTATGTGCCGTTGAGTCGGACCTGACTCATAGCGACCTCTCCTTGGGTTTTCGAGGCAATATCACTACGGAAGCAGATGGCCCCATCTTCCTTCCAAGGAGTGGCTGGTGGGTTTGAACTGCCAGCCTTCTGGTTAGCAGTCACGTGCCTTAGGCACTATGCTACCAGAGCTCCCACTCTAAGCACTAGGAACCTTCAATTTTCCTCACAAAACATGAGTCTTACCACTAAAATTACATTAGTAATTAGAGAAGCACTCTATTTTACAAGTCCTTATTGGCAGTTTATTAGCAGTTTAACTTTGCAGTTTTAACAGCATCCGAGAAATTAACTGTTGTCCCGCCTTAAAGATTATGACAAAATTTTATAGCCCATGTAAAATTTGCCAATAATATTTCATGTGACTTGCTCAAGATCATAAATTGAAGATGCTGAGTAAAATATATGGGAATACATAAATGTTGGTGTTAGTGAAAATATGATGTTTGGTATGTTTGCTACTCTTGAATCTTAAATTCTTTAAAATATCATTCAATCCTTTCTGCTGCCTCAAAAGAAAGAGCAGTGCAGCAGTGACCAGTTGTAACTAAAGAAGTATCATTTAAATTAAATAAGAAAAGGCAGTCGGTTTTCTTTAAGACTCCAAGGGTTTTCTGGCTGTAGTTCTAATACCGACAATGGATTATTGTCATTTGCTACTGAATTTGCTCTGACTGATGGTGACCTTATGTATAGTAAAAATGTCCAGTGCTGTGCAATCGTCATGATCTCTGGTATGTCTGAGTCCATTGAGGGTGGTTAGACAACTTGCATAGCACAAGGTACAAAACCAGAAGGAAAGGAAACATTTAATAAAAGTTCATGAAACTTCCTGACAATGTAGAAATGTGAAAACTTTTTGTTCTCCCTTTTTAAGAACTTTCTGTGCAATTTTACATAGTGGGAAAAGTACAATATTGACATCAGATGAGCACAGTTTGAGTACTAAATATACTTCATCTTTACTAAATCATACATCTATTCTTATTTATTTTATTGAGCACCCAAAATGTATGACCTTGAGCAAGTGATATGAGAGATATTATTGAAGTTTATGTGAAACATAAGTTTATTCACAATCTTTAAAACAAAAGTATCAATTTTTGAGTTGTCATTAAAACTGGAAAATTAAAATACTAATAAGGACTAGTAATATTTAGGTGATACTCTAATCATTCCCATGTGATTTTAGAGATAGGACTCATGTACAAGCAGTCTAGGGAAAATCTGAGAGGAGAGAATAGAGTGGCTTATTGAAAGGAAGAAGACAATCACGGCCCCAGTCATGTTACTGTTGTGCACCGAGTGTAGGAGGAATGATGAGGAGAGGTGCAGAACGTGAGGTTACTTACTTAGACAAAGTATAAAATGAGCCAATGAGTACTGTAGTGTAAAACTGTATAGCTTAATAAATTTAAGACATTATAGATCAAAAATTCTTTTGTTAAAGCTGGAAAAAAAATCTCGTTATCAAAGCAAAATGAAAGTTCATGACATTTATGAGTATTACTGTCTAAACTATTCTCTTTTGTCTTGTCTCTACCCTTGTCTCTCTCCCTTCTCTGCAGAAAGCAACTACTGTTAAAGAACATAAAATGCCCTTTTATTGGTCGTCATGTCTGGAACCAACAGCTCCAGCCTGACTCCAGGATTCTTTACCTTGAATGGCATTCCTGGGCTGGAAGCTGCACACATCTGGATCTCCCTGCCATTCTGCTTCATGTACATCATCGCTGTAGTGGGGAACTGTGGGCTCATCTACCTCATCAGCCATGAGGAAGCTTTGCATCGGCCCATGTACTATTTCCTGGCTCTGTTGTCTCTCACTGATGTCAGTCTGTGCACCACCACTGTACCCAATATGCTGTGCATATTCTGGTTTGACCTTAAGGAGATTGATTTTAATGCCTGCCTGGTCCAGATGTTTTTTGTACACATGTTGACTGCAATGGAGTCAGGGGTGCTCATGCTCATGGCCCTGGACCGCTACGTGGCCATCTGTTACCCCTTACGCTATGCCACCATCCTCACCAACCCTGTCATTGCCAAGGCTGGTCTTGCCACATTTCTGAGAAGTGTGACACTCATCATGCCTTTCACCTTCCTCACCAAGCGCCTACCCTACTGCCAGAGTAACTTTATTCCTCACACCTACTGTGATCATATGTCTGTGGCCAAGGTCTCCTGTGGCAATTTCAAAGTCAATGCTATTTATGGTCTCCTGGCAGCTCTCCTGATTGGGGGCTTTGATATGTTTTGCATCTCAGTGTCTTACACAATGATCTTGAGGGCAGTGGTGAGTTTGTCATCTGCAGATGCTCGTCACAAAGCCTTCAGCACCTGTACCTCTCACATATGTGCTATTGTCATCACATATGTTCCAGCCTTATTTACTATTTTTACTCATCGTTTTGGGGAACAAAACATTCCCCACCACATCCATATCATTATCGCCAATCTCTATTTGATGTTGCCTCCTACCTTGAACCCTATCGTTTATGGAGTCAAGACCAAACAGATCCAGGAAGGAGTTATTAAATTATTTTTTAAGGAGAAAGATGTCTTAGCTATGAAATAGATTCAAAGTACAAAGGAAGACAAAATAACCCTTTAGAGGAATCTCTTGAGTATAAAGCTAAACCAAAGTCATCTCTCGTAGAAAGCAAAATTCATTGAATATTTGACATAATATTAACTGAACTCTTTTGTAGCACTCTATTAATGTTTTTTTTTTTTTTTAAATGTTAAGTAAGATATATGCCTCCTGAATGGGAAGAGTTCTCTCTTAAAAGGAACTCTACATCAGGGTATTTTCTAGGTTGTTTGAAAGCAATCATATTTTTTAAACCAGCCACTCCTCGGAAGGAAGATTGGGCAATCTACTTCCGTAATGATATCACCTCAGAAACCCAAGGAGGGGTCACTAGGAATCAGATCCAACTCAAGGAAAGTGAGTGTGTTTTGTTTGTTTGTTTGTTTTGTTTTTTAATATACTTTGTGTGTTGAATAAATCTCAAAAGTCATGTAAAGATACTCTGAAGACCTAGTGTAGAGCTAAGGCTAATAGCCTCCATGGAAATCTTTAACCAGAAACTTTTAATATGGAGATTAACACGCCCCATGCCTCAGAACTTTTTATCAGAGATCTCCCTGGCCCCGAAAAGTCTCTCGCCCACCTTTGAAAGCTCCGGCAGCTCTCACCTCCCCACGGATTTTGCACATATCAAAGAGATCCGCCTGGCCCTAAAAAAATCTCTCACTCACCTTTGAAGCCGGGGGATTCCAACCCGCCCTCCAACTTCCCAAACCCCTGCCCTAAAAACCAATTTTCTACTCCACCCTATATTCTTCTATAAACATGTGATAGTAAAAGAGCAGGAGGTCTTTTGCTCAAGCCACGGATTTGGTGAGAGCAAGGACCCGAACTTAAGTTAGCTAATACACTTTCCTTTTGCTTTTGCATTGTCGTGTGTTGGCAAATTCCTCATGTCGAACAACTCCTTCATAACCTGGGCTCAACACTAGTCTTTGAGCAAAGTCATAATAATTTTTTAAGAGTTTGTTTTACATTCAACTTTACATGTACATTTAGTTTCACTCCCCATTTACCATGTCCAACCCTAACCCAGTCTCCTCCTCTCCATACACAGTTACCCTCCCCCTGTGCCCCTCATATTTATGCACTCCTGCTTGTCCTGCATTTCCTCAATTTGAATGTTGGTCCTCTGGTGCCCCCTGGTCTATTGCTCTAAGGGATATATTACTATAGAGTATGTGGGTGTGTCATCTTGGGTTGAGTGGTCTGCGTGTACATCTTATTAACTATTGGGCTGAAAGCCAGCCCCTGGGGGTACATTTTATTCCAGGTGCAGAATGTATTTCAGGGTCATAGTATTGAAGTTCTCATCAGATTTCATCTGACCAGTAATTCTGGTCATTATAGAGTTTTTGGATTTTGTTCCATGTTTTTCCTCCCACTCTATCCAGGATCTCCAAATTTGATCCTTTCCTGAGTGGTTGGCATTGGTAGCCAGGCACCATCTAGTTCTTCTGGTCTCGAGAGCCATCGTGTCCTAGGGCTGATTGCTTCCAAATGCCTTTTTTTTTTGCATTTTTCTTAGCTTCCAATGCTAGGAGACCATTAGCTACACCTTAGATGGCCGCTTGAAAGCTTTTAAGACCCCAGTCGCTACTCACCAATGTAGGATGAAGAACAAGGAACATTATAATAATTTGAAGCATCTTAGAGTTCGTGGAAAAGAGTCTTCAAAAGCTTGTTTTAATAACTCCATTTTCCACTACTATTCCTTTCACAACAAATTTTGTGTCACTTGTTTTAGTTACGAAAACTATCTTATGTCTAAGTTTCATTTTCATAATTAAGAAAAATAATATTCATATATTTTCATCAATGTGATCTAAATAAAAAATGGAAAGGAATAAAGTCAAGAAAATTTAGAACAAATAATTACTCAAAAGTAATTCTGAGAACTTTCTTTTTGTTTTTTAAAGACATTATTTGCTTTTTTTAAAAAAAAGAAAAACAAAGAGCTTTATGATTTGAGTGAATTTTTACAGAACAAATCAGTTTTCCATTAAACAATTCATACACATTTGTTTTGTGCCATTGATTGCATTCCTCACAATGTAACTTCACTCATCCCCCTTCATTCCTGTGTCAATCCATTTCCTATAGAATAAGTCTTACAGATGGTTCCAAAGTCATGGTGGAAAATAGAAGACATTCACCAGCAAAAATCTTTAAACATTTGGGTTTGGCTGACTTTATACAATTAACCAGTTGCTATACCCCTCTGGACAAATGTAAGGGAATTAGGTATCATTAGAGAAAATGACAGAATTATGAGAACTCAGTGCCATTGGCTATCAGAGAAAAGGGAGAAAAGGTAATAAACACATTGCTGTTAGTCAATTCCAACACAGAGAAACCCTACAGAATAGAGAAGAACTGCCCTCGAGGGCTCCCAAAGTTGTAATTTTTCAGTAAACAGACTGGTACATCTTTCTCCTACTGAGAGGGTTCAAAACATCAACCTTTTGGTTAGCAGTCCAAATGCTTAATCACTGTGACACTAGGATTCCAAAAGATGATAGGAATGGTGGATATATAAAAGGAAGGATGAGATTTAGCAAAACAGAGAGGTGAATAGTTTATCATGGAAGCTTTGGGTCCTTGCAACTCTTTTAATAAGAAGATATATTCTGTTTCTTGGTTTGGTACCTGAAATTCTGTGTTAGATGCTTTGCAGGGCAAAGCTTTTCAGGGGCCTTATTATCAATGAGTCATTACTCCTCATTAAAAAAAAAAAAAAAAAAGCACTCTTGCTTATGACTTGAATTTGCTATTTCCTCAGACAGAGACTTTGCACATTTCCTTTCCTCTACCTGGAATGCTCCATCATCTGCCACTCTTTCTTCCTCATTTGAATAATATTTCCTCATCCTTTAGTTGTTAGTTTAAAAGTCACTTCCCCTCTCCCTGTATTTGTGCTTCAGATTATTGTCCACCCACAATTCATTTATTATTTGACTCTTTATCTAGACTGAGGACAGGAAATAATACTTTGTTATATTGTTTATGTTTTGTTTTACTTTAATCTCAATATCCTCAATAGGACCTGGGACTTAATAGTTCAAACTAAACTCACTGCCATCAAGTCAGATCAGACTCATAGCAACCCCTCCTTGAGTTTCCGAGTCACACAATATTTATTCGATAAAAGAATGAATGAATGAATAATCTGCTCTTGTGCCTGGTTGGTAGGACATTTTAAATTATGTTAGAAAAAAAATAGTGGACACCATTGACAAAATTTCTCTATCTTCTCCCCCTGACATGCTAAGACAATCTTATTTATTACATTGTGTATTAAGTCTTAATAAAAATTATTCAGAATTTTTTTTAAAAAAATACATCTTTATCTTGTAACTGAAACACTTATTTTTAAATTACACCTTCCATATTATGTTTAATATACATTCAATCTATTCCAATCATTTGACAATCAGTGCAATAAAATATTATTTTCTATAATAGTTGAACCAAGATAAGATATCTTATCAGCTTTGGTAAATTTAGAGATAGAGCAACTGGATAGTCACTGGTAAAAATGCAATTCATACACATCAAAAAGAATTAGCCTGTGTTCCAAGGTAAGGTAGTATTACATCACCATCATGTGCTGCCCTTTCTGTCACCAACCCAGAATCAACTCTTCTGATAACCAGAATATCATCACAATGGTATAACCATATTTGAAATTAAGACCATTTAGAATGTAAAAGGCCAAAGCTAAAATAAAATTAAATTAAAAAAATAAGCAAAACAGCACTTCCTTTTTCTGATACACTGTTTTACAACCATTTGAGCTTAAAATTTGCATTCTTTTAAGCCCTTCCTCTCATTCCTTGCAATAACAAACTCTTTCCCCTCATGATAACAGAAAGGTAAAATCTATAGTAATTGATTTGCAAGGTTTATTTTTTAAAAAACTGAAGTAAAGTAATTTGGGAAGTGCATGCTAAGTTATTATTTTGTGATACCAATACATATTATTTTTCAAGTATGGCCAGCACAGTGGACTGTCCCTTCCTATAATTTGACTCCAAATAAATGTATATGGCTTAAAGGTAATTTATATTATGACCAAATCATGCACAAACATTGACCTTGTCTCCTGTAATCAGGCCTTGTCCCAATGAAGCAAAAAATGAAGCAGCTAAGAAGCTACATTTGGATCACTGCTGGGCTTCTGATTAGTCTGAAGACTACATACTGATTTCCATGTCCTGTATGTTTCTACAGAATTAAGTAAATCTTATTCTGGATTAAAACCTATTGGCTTTTGTGAATTTTATTGCTAATCAAACCTCCTACCACTGTTGATAGTTGTAAAGTGTACATTTATAAATAGTTAAGAACTTCATTAAAAGTAAGTAGAGAAGTATGCTATTTTAATGCTGGAAATGTTGAAGAATATGATATATAACATAGAGGTTTCTGAAATTATGTTGTAATAAAACTGCTAGTGTAATGAACAACAAAAAAATATATATAATCAACAAGACTAGAAGTTGGTCCTTTGAAAGGATGAGTAAAATTGCCAAACCACTTGCAAATTTAACAAAGGACAAGAAGATACAAATAACACAAATAAGAAATGAAATGGACAATGTTACAACAGAATCTGTTGGAAAAAAAAAGGATAATGACAGAATATTATGAAAAACTGTACTCCAAAAAATTAGAAAATCTAGAAGAAAGATGCATTTCTATAAGCATACTATCTACCCTAACTAACAAAATCTAAGTACAAAAATTGAACATACCCATCACAAAAAAAGAAATCAAAGTGATCATTAAACAAGTGTCCTAATTTAAAAGGAAAAAAAGTCCTAGCCCTCATGGCTTCACTGGAGAATTCTACCAAACACAGAAAAAGACAGAATACTCCCATACCCATTCTAGGAAGCAAACGTATGCTAATACCCAAACCAGGAAAATACACCAGTAAAAAAGAAAAAATGTAGACAAATATCCCTCATGTACATAAATGT